GTCCTCTGCCTGCTCACCCCCCGCCGCCACCCCCCGGCCCCCCCCGAGGGTTCCCGGGGGGAGAAGAAGTGTCTGAATGGAGGTTGCGGGGTCCCAGAGGAAGAGGAGGAGGAGGAAGAGCGGCGTGAGTCAGATTCGGAGGAGGAGAGCGCCTTGGATTGCGGGTTGAAGCTGAAGAAGGTGAGCTTCATCGAGAAGGCGGAGCGGCGTGGCGGGGAGCCCAGCGGCCCCGAGGACGAGAGTTTCCTCGAGGAGGGCAGCCCCACCATGGTGGAGAAGGGCATGGACCCCGCGTCCGTCTTCGAGCTGTGTGAGGATGAGGAGGAGGCCGAAGGTGCCCCTGGTAGCCCAGTCAAGGCGGTAGAGCCAGTGGTGGTCCCGCGGGCTGGCCGGAGGAGGCGGACGGCTGAGAGCCGGGAGGAAGAGGAAGGTGAGGAGGAAGGGCGGAGGCGTAATCGGGCGTCGTGGATCGACCCGCCAGAGGAGGACTACTCCACACAGCTGACGCAGGCGGAGGTGGAGAGCTGCATGAAGAAATACGAGGTGAGCGGCCTTGGCATGGGGCACGGGGCCGGGGGAGTGTGATGTACCCCACTGCAAAGCGCTCTTCCTCCTCCTCTTCCTCCCCAGGACACCTTCCAGGACTACCAGGAGATGTTCATCCAGTTCGGTTACGTGGTGCTCTTCTCCTCCGCCTTCCCCCTCGCCGCCATGTGCGCTCTGGTGAACAACGTCATCGAGATCCGGAGCGACGCCTTCAAGCTGTGCACGGGGCTCCAGCGGCCCTTCGGCCAGCGCGTTGAGAGCATCGGGCAGTGGCAGGTGAGCTGGGGAGGGGGGGGGCGGTGGGCTGGGGAGGGGCTCAGCGGGGAGCCCGGGCTGGCCGGGGGCTCATCCCCGACACCGTTGCTCTTGCAGAAGGTGATGGAGGCCATGGGCGTCTTGGCCATCGTGGTCAACTGCTACTTGATCGCCCAGTGCGGGCAGCTCCAGCGCCTCTTCCCCTGGCTCAGCCCCGAGGGAGCCATCATCTCCGTGGTGGTGCTGGAGGTACGGTGCTGGCCCCCGGGGCTCGCCCCTGCCGCTGTTACTGTCGGGTCTCCCCAGTGCGTGACAGTTGCCTTGGATGGGGTCCCAGCCCTAAACCCTCTGCGGCAACCTCGGGGCAACTCCCTGCAGGCAAAATCCCCCTGGTTGTTACTGTAGGGTCTCCCTGCCCCCCCCGCTAGCCCTTAGGGTGCATTTTGGGAGGGGACGGCAGCGCCCGCGGGGCCGGGGTGGGGATGCTCAGCTGGACCCGTGTGTCCCCCGCAGCATTTCGCCCTGTTCCTGAAGTACATCATCCAAGTGGCCATCCCCGACATCCCCGCCTGGGTGGCCGAGGAGATGGCCAAGCTGGAGTACCAGCGCCGCGAGGCCTTCAAGGTAGGCGATGCCGGGCTGGGCCCCCCCGGAGCTGGGGTCCCCCCGTCCCTGGGGTTGGGGGGGTGTTCCTCGGGGTGTCCCTGGAGCTGATGGGCTCCCCGTTGACAGAAGCACGAGCGGCAGGCGCAGCACCACTTCCAGCAGCAGCAGCGGCGCAAGCGGGAGGAGGAGGAGCGCCAGCGACACGCTGAGTACCAGGCCCGCAAGGAGCGGGAGTCGAGCCGCGACGAGGCCAAGCCCGAGGCCGCCGGGCAGGACCCGGCCCACGAGAAGAGCCAGAGCAAAGGGAAGGGCTCTGGGGGCTCCTCGCACGGCTCTGACAAGCCCAAGCGCCCCAGCTCCCTCCTGGCCACCAACAACGTGATGAAGCTGAAGCAGATCATCCCTTTGCAGGGCAAGTTCCTCTCCGGGGGGGCCGGGGCCAGCAGCACGGCCACCGCCAGGTCCCCCCAGTCCCCCACCGGCAGCGAGAACAAACTCCCCGGCTTCCTCAGCTTCAAGTTCCTGAAATCCCCCGAGACTAAGCGGGACGCAGGGACTGAGAAGGTCCAGTCGCCCACCAAGCCATTCAATCCCGGCAAGCTCTTCAACTTTGGCAAGTCCGAAGGGGCCGGGGGCAACGGCACTGCGGCCACCGCCTCCCCCCAGCCCCGAGCCGGCCCCTCG